GTATTCAATTATTATAATTCCTTGCATACATTAAATATTATTTTTTATTAATATTATTATTATTTTTAATTTTTAATAAACTTCCATTTCTTCAACTTCCTGTTTTTTCCTTAAATTATAAACTGGAAATGAAAAATTTTGTTTGGCAAATCGATACAAGGTGGACTGAAGAGCCATGTTGGAAATAGAAGATTCCAAGATAATTATCTTATATTGTTGTCAGGGGACAAAATAAAATAATAAAAATTTTTAAAAAAATATGCTGCTAATACATGGGATGATACTTAAAGGAAACTTTTAGGGATGGTAAGGGTTGTTCGGAGACTGAAAGACTTAAATATGTACCACACTGGCTCTTTTTTAAAATAAACTGTTACAAACTATTAATGACTGACGACCACTGTTTTAACCACTGCGTTAACTAGCCTGAGGAAGGATTAAAATAAATCCGAAACACGTTGTGGATTGAAAGAAAAACTGGTTGTTGTTTTTTTGAGATGACCTATTATCCCACTTCGAGAAGGAAAAATCATAAGGGAAAATTTTTTTAGCACTAATTTTATTTTAACTAAGTTAATTATTTTTGTCGCTCATTAATGTGTTCTTATTATAGTACAAAAATAGTTAATAAATTTTGTTCAAGATTTCTGAATATAGCAGTTCCGAAAGAAGACATATCAACGCGATTATTATGAATTACAAACCATCACAGAGAACTCATTTCTACATGAAATTAATAAAGAAAAATATTTATAATGCGTTATTGAGATACCCTGGAAGAAATTACTTGGTAAATTAGGTTAATAAATACGGGGACCGCGGTGGCTGAGTGGTTATTCGTATTGTCACATTGGTGGTCCTGGGTTCGAATCCCAGCAAAGCCCACGGATTTTTAATTGTGTACAATATGGGGAAAATATTGTAAAGTGGTTTGACCCCTCGTTCGCGACACCCAACGGTAGTTGGGCGTTAAGCCCTCCTGTAGGACAGTAATTACTTTACTTTTTACTCGATAGTAACACGATAAAAACATTCGTTTGAGATGTTACGGGCTTGCGGGTTGATGGACTTGTAGTTTGGTCGTTTCCAATAATTTTGATATGCCAATTTCCCCGACGTATATGGCTCGAACTAACTGTACTTACTTTCCACTGATGATGGCGAAACCCCTAATTTTACACATTGACGATATTAATTCATACTTGTCCTAAATTATTTATTATCTGTAGTTTGGCCGTTTTCCTATCATTTTGTTATACCTAATCATTTTAGACTGTCAGACGTGTTTCGGCTTCTTCTCATATTCAGTGTCTGGCTGAGCAAGATAAAGCAATTCTTGTTGTAAAGAAGAGAACTTAACGTCCAATACTTACTTTTTCCTTATTCTCAAATAAAATTCAAAAGATAATACCAGTATTAATCCGCTAGCATTTAATATATAGGGCTTTTTCCCTAGCCCACAGGCCGCGCAAATTGATAAAAACAAGAAACGATCATTTATATCTTAAAACAATGAAACCATTGTAAAATGATGCCGGATGATTTAAGAGCTGATGAAAGGTCGACGGTTCAACATAATATGCGATGCAGTGAAATGAATGTGGAGGAAGTTGTGAAAACGGGGGTAAATTAAGAGGAATTTCTCTTGAAGATATAAAACAGTGAGGGGTGAGGAACACCCTTAATATCTTTGAGGATAAACTGAACTCTTCACCCCATTCCACTTCTCCAAAGCGACCCCGCCATTTAAAGAAGATAGCAGAGTTAAGCAATTTGTTCCGAAACCTCCTCTTCCTCACCAACGCGGTTAATGGAGAGCCGAGGTATTATAAAGTCACAAGAGCCACGGAGTAATAACTGAGCAACTAAAAACTCTCATTAAGGACACGAGCCTTGATAGAGTAATAACTGGGCAATTAACGGCAACAACTTTATGAAGGATTTCATCCCCACACAACTCCTTAATTGTTAGTCTGAGCTGGTTCCGCCGGGGGAAGCGTTATCGAGTTTAGCAACTTGTTCATTCCAACAATATCTAACCGCTGTTAAACGAGTATGGAGCGAGAGCTTCACCGTTCAACTCGGAGATTTATCCGGAAGCGCAAAGTATGAAACTCAAAAGCTATTACGCTATACTTATAACTTTCCAATTAAGAGAGCATACTTTTCCAGTTATTTAATGAGACTTTTCAACTACACGGCGTGCGTTAGCATACACGAACAACGGACGAGAATCCGAAAATAAGGAAAAACACGATTACTTCAATTAATACTCGAAACTTCATAACATTGTTGCTTTTATTATATTGAAAAAGAATGTAGTTTATCTGTTAGAAATCTCGGGGAATTATTTAGTTTTATTTTATTTATACATGTATGAATTTTATTGTTTATAATTTTTGATTTACAGAGTTTCTTAACATAGTCGTATTCAGTTGGTTCCAGGACATTTTTACAGCTTTTTCATCTAGTATGCATTCTACAAGAAGTATTTTATCTTAAGATATATATTAAATGTAAAATAATTTAAGGGAAAAATATATTTAAAAAACCAGGCATTACACAAAACAATAAAGGTATTAAACACACTAATATTTATGAACATGGGTTTAATAAATCCATAAGAAAATACGAATATTCAAGTACATGCTACACACACTAAATCAACTGACTTGAAGGACTTAACATCCATATTTATCATAGCAATTGGTTAAACTACGTACATTGGCAGGTACACATTTCCTTCGAAACATGTTCATTATTAGTCAAAAAATATTTGCTTAAGTGTGTAGTGATTAGTGACCGTTAATCGATAATTATTCAGAAATCGTGAGATGCGGTCTGGTGTGAATCGAATATCGTACTGGCACCTCTCAACACGACACGCAAGAATGACACAATTACACAGAAGACAAACACTTTGAGCTCTGATGATGATCTCAATAAAGATCGAAACGTTGGCACGTTAAAGAAAATGTTTTTCTGAAACCTACATCACACCAGACCGCCTCTCACGATTTCTGAAAAATTATTTGATGTGTTTTATGCCTTCATTTACGGTAGTTCAAGTCTTTCCTATTATAAATAAAAAGATTTCTTTTATGTACAAATAGGCTATTTAAGCATGAAATATAAAAGTTCAGAATTACTATAGAGATGAGGGTTAAGTTTTGTTTCGTTATGTTTACTGTTACATGCATCCAACGAGGAAACCGTGCAAATTCTTGTAACACATTTCGAACTACCTGGAGCTTAGAAAATTGGATTTAAGACATATTCCCAAATTGGAGCACCGTAAGCTATTAATGGACGTATGTACAGCTCATAAATATAAGTTACATCCACAACGGGGTTTTTATTGTCCATAGATGAACCTTTATTAAAGAACGGCTCCTTAAGACGGTGCTTTGGACCATTTTTTTTTTAATGTAGTAACTAAATTCACTAGTTTTCGTGGTCCGCTTGACCAGATAATATCTTTCAATTAATTAATCTGCATTCAAGGTATTGGTTGAAACAAAAAAGTCAGTGTCACAAGCGGGACTCGAACCCACGACCCTCGGCCAAACACGCCACCGCTCCACCACCCGAGCCATCGTGACCTCGATCCACTCGGACACCACTTCCCATATTTTTTCCTCCTTTTTGCCATTTTTCAACTAGTGAATTTAATAAGTTAAAGGAGGAAAAATTCAAAAGGTGAGGTTGAGATGGGAAGTTGGTGTCCGAGTGGATCGAGGACACGATACCTCAAGTGGTAGAACAGCGGCGTATCTAGCGTATCATGGGTTCGAATCCCGCTTGTAACACTGACTTTTTTGTCTCAACCAATACCTTGAATGCAGATTAATTAATTGAAAGGTCGTAACTAAAATTAAATCTGGAATCCAGATACATTCCAAGGTATTTAACATTTTTATTCCATGGTTTTTATTTTATTTAATAGTTATTTGGTATATTCAGTTTTGTTAAGTGCAGTCTTCTGTAATTAAGTGTTCCTGTTTATTCTTGCGTAGGCGACATTATTTTAAATACTCTCGGTACAATTTTTTTAAATTTAAAAATGCGATTTGGGTCTGATTTAATTTGGAAGTCAACGTTTGATGATCCATGTAGCAGTTTTCATTTTTCGTTTGCCGCCCGCTTAAAACACGCAGCGGGAACAGGCGGACCAGTTAAGGACGAGCGAAACTCTTACAAAAGTATATTTTCATTTTATAACTGGCCGTGCATGTTAAAATGACTTCGCAATAGAATCACTGAACACCGGGGAAAAGCCGCTTACATAACGGCAGTACAAAGGGAAAACTTACAACTTCCATTTATCGCAAATGTAATTAATACCCTTGTTTGAAGTATTGAAAATTTATAAATGTTACAAAATATTCTTTGATAAATATTGTTCTGATCGAAAAGTAGTACATGTTTATTGTTAAAATATTTTTAGACCGATACCAATACTTCCTGCGAAGAACACGTGTTTGTTCAAGACCCCAACGCAATTTGTGGACTTTGTAGTACTTGCGATTAGGTCTCTATTAGCTTATTAATCTATTACATTAATTATTTAGTAAGCCATTGAAAGGAAAAACGCTACGTAGTTCAGTTTTTGAAAAAAATTTGGTCTAAATGCACAGTCAGAAGATCATATTTGAAGTTTTGCATTCGCTTTTAAGTCATAACTTTGAAGTTTTGTGTTTTTCATTCGCGCAATGATAAATACAATTATTCAGAAATCGAGAAATGCGGTCTGGTGTGATGTAGGTTTCAGAAAAACATTTTCTTTATTGTGCCAACGTTTCGATCTTTATTGAGATCATCTTCAGGGCTCAAAATGTTTGTCTTTTGTGTAATTGTGCCATTCTTGCATGTCGTGTTGATAGATACAATGGTGTACCATGGAACATTTTCCTCTCATATTTTTTTATTTTCTCTTATGTTTATTCTTACCTCATAGAAAATTGTAATATAGATAATTCAGGAGTTGCGAATAAATAAAATGAAACATAAAAAAATATATATTTCAAATTTTGGCATCACCTCGTACACATCTACTCAAGCAAATGTAACTTTTTGAACATCCATTTTTGGTGTTTTGGGGTTCCTGAATTCGGAGTATCTGAAAATAAAATAATTTTTCTACTTCGATTCTAAAGAAATAGAAAAATATTACTTTTTCTGACTTACATATTTTCGAACTTGATTCTTTCTTTAGCACTGAGAGAAGGTTTGGTTTCTTTAATAGCGGCCAAGATATCCTCTTCAGTCAGTTCCACATCCTTTTTCTGCTAAACAAACATAAATTAACAATTAAAACAACATCAGTTTTTGAACGGTCTTAACAGTCCTATTCTACTTTTATTCGTACAATCGAGTTGATCTAATTTTCATGTTTAAATATACTATAAATTTATTGATGTTATAATTAAGAGATATTGGCAGGGTGAAGAAGACTCAATATCCTAACATTGAGTTGAAATGTGTAATTCTTTTAAAAAACTAATCTGATTTTCATCGTTTGAAATGAATCTTCGTTAAGAACTAAAAGTGAGTACGTGTCAAAACTTAAAGTGATGGCTTATAACTGGGCAACCAGCTTTTTCTTCTGTTCTAGCCAGATATTAAACCACAAACTAATTTTGGTGAAGTGCAGAGTTGTCTTGCTGACAATGGTGCTTTCGTTCATACCAATGGATCGCTGAATTAACTTGATGATGACCGAAAAGGCGAGAGCGGTACGCTCGTGCGTACTGTCGACGTGAAAGCAACTTTCAACTTCTTTCTCTCTCAAGTCTGTTATCGTATTTACAAAATTTTTCCTTATACCGAATTGTTTACAGACTACTTCCCGCAGCAAAGGAAGATAAAAGATAAAAACTAAAATTATTAATTATGAATGAAAAATGTAAACAAGACCTCGCGGATGCAATTCACAATCAAACAAATTAAATTGGTTAAAACATTTGCTAAATTGTTTAATGTACAAATTATTCCAGTACATATTTGAGTTTTAAATGTTAAACTTTTTTCAATTTTGTTAAAATTTCATAAAAATGTCGGTTTAAATTTACTAAGTACATGTGTGTGAAATGTGTAGTGATTAGTACCGTTAGTCGATAATTATTCAGAAATCGTGAGATGCGGTCTGGTGTGATGTAGGTTTCAGAAAAACATTTTCTTCGTCGTGCCAACGTTTCGATCTTTATTGAGATCATCTTCAGGGCATGGGATTTACAAACATTGTTTAAATTTACCAAAAACATGTAGGACGTGGAAAAAAGTGAATTTATACAATTCAAAAAAATATATTTTTATATTCAATCAAAGTATTTATACTCACTCAAAGTGATTGTTTTCTCCGTAACACTTTGAGTGAGTAGAAATACTTTGATTGAATATAAAAAATATATTTTTTTTGCATTGTATAAATTCACTTTTTTTCACATCATACATGTATTTGTTAAATTTAAATAATGTTTGTCCCAGGCCCTGAAGATGATTTCAATAAAGATCGAATCGTTGGCACGACAAAGAAAATTATTTTCTGCATCACACCACACCGCATCTCACGATTTCTGAATAATTAATTTACTAAGTACTTTCAATTTATTAAGGTATTTAGTTGAGATAAAAAAAGTCAATGTCACGAACGGGATTCGAACCCACGATCTTCGGCCAGATACGCCGCTACTCTACCACTTGAGCTATCGTGACCTCGATCCACTCGGACACTAACTTCCCATCTCAGCCCCACCTTTTGCATTTTTCCTCCTTTTTGCCATTTTTCAAATGTCGTGTAATTTATTTGATTCTCGGCGACAAATGAAATGGCCTCGGAGACCTTTAGTGAAGGTATACTTCATTTTAACTTATTAAATTCACTAGTTTTCGTGGTTTGCTTGACCAATTAATATCTTTCAATTAATTAAGGTATTTAGTAGGATTGAGTGGTAGAGCAGCAGCGTATCTAGCCGAAGATCGTGGGTTCGAATCCCGCTGGTGACACTGACTTTTTTATCTCAACTAAAAACCTTAATTAATTGAAAGATATTAGTTGGACGGACCACGAAAACTAGTGAATTTACTAAGTACCTTGTACACTGTTATACTAACATCATTATATTTGTATTTTAAAGATTACATATAATTTTATTAATTGGTGCCCAAAAAATGGACTTATACTTAACATTGATAAATACTTTGCGATGTAAGTTTTTAGATGTAATAAAAAAGTTAATTCATCCTATTTTGGTAACAGATTGCAATTACAAACTGTGACCAAATTTAAAGATCTTGGTGTAACATTAACTCATACCCTTGAATATTTCCAGCATGCAACCAATATTAGTAATGGGGCTAATAAAATAGTTAGATTCGCAATACTCACTTTACACATAAAACACTTTAGAAACATATTTACAATGAAAAATGTATTTTGCTCCATAATTCGTAGTCGTTTAGAGCATGCTAGTTCGTATCTGGTCACTCTACCAAACGTATCTCTGAACGAAACTTTAAAGAGTACAAACTCAATTTTTAAGATATGCCTCTTTTAAATTAAAAATTTCGCGAATATCTCTCATGATCACTTATACTTAATCCTAAACCTGTTTCCTTTATACCTTACAAGGAAGAAAACTGATCCACTTTTCCTCTATGGCCTTATCATTAGCAAAATTAATAGTCCCCAATTGTTAAACCTAATCACTTTCAATGACAGCTCTCACAATACTCGACTTTTTCAGTCTAAACTCAAAAATATAATTATTTACTTCACTCTGACATTTCTAGAATTTTAACAGTTGGTATTAAGCATACTACAGTTGATACGTTCAACGCAAACAAACTTTCAATAAAGAAATATTTTCTCCGATTATATAATTGTAAATAATTTTTTTAACCTCTCTTCTTATAAAGATATTTGATTTTTTAAACATGTTTATGTTATATATTTTAAATGTATATATGTTTGTGTTACTTTTTTTTAATATTTTTATATGAACAGTATTTGTAATGGTATTTTTATACCTTGAGATTTGTTATAGTTGTTGTATCATTGCAAAAGGGCTTCTTGCCGTCTATATTAATAAATTAAAAATAAATAAATTTAATGGTGTTTTATTTTGATTTTGACTATATGTCAAGGGATTTGTGCATTTTAATAGTAGCAATCATTTAAATACACTGGCAGGCAAAAAATTCCACCCAATGGATTTTTTTCTCGATAAAAGAAAATTCTGCCCTTAATTTGTCCCGTTGTTTCTATCAATAAATATTTGTTTATGCTATGTTTTAAATTGGGAATATCAATTAGAGGTAAACGGAATTTATGTTTACTCAGTCTCATTTGAATTCTGAAGCAATAAACTGTTTAGTTTTCATCTTTGTTTGCTTAATTTCAATTTTTAAACTTAAAAATGCCACTTAGTGCTGAGGATGTTACGCGAGGTGTGGCACTTTTAATGAAGACGTCCCATAAGGTATGGGGCTATTGCCATCGACGAGAATTTTGCGAAACCGGCACCTTAACTGTTGTTGAAGCGATTCCAGCTCCAGAAATTTCGAGGTGTCTAAATTTCTGAATGCACTGCACGAAGAAGATTAAATCAGTATGGACTGCTTTTTCGCCCCGTAAGAGGACCAGAATTGACCAGTACACAGAGTTGCACGGGTCGCATTTGCTCGAGGGCACAGCCATTGGTCTTTGGACGATTGTCTGCTGTACTTTTTACAGACGAGTGTACATTTGCTCTACGATCTCCAGGTCGTGAAAGAGTGTGGAAAGGCGAAATGGAAAGGTACGAATCCTGTAATTTTTCCCAGAGCCGACCTTTTCAACGTAGCTCAGTGATGATGTGGACGGGAATTTCAATGTAGAGTCGCACAAAGTTGGTTGTCGTTCGCGGAGGGTCGTTGACGGCCATTCCCTATGTGGATGAAATTTTGGAACATGATGCTTTGTTTATCCTCGATGACATCAGCGACAATCCTATTCTAATGCACGATAATGCCCGTCCACATGTCGCTCGCAAAGTACAGCATAACATCAGGGTCTTAGCCTGGCCAGCCCGTTCTTCAGACTTGAACCCCATCGAACCATTTATGGGATAACCTCAAAAGACGGATAAGAGCACGTCCATCCTGATACACTCCACGATCTTGACAGAAAGGGCTCACCTCCAGCAAAGAGACATTTCCAGACTGGTACAAAGTATGCCGAGGCGACTTCGAGATGTAATTAAGGCAAGAGGAGGAAATTCGTGATATTGAAATGCCAATTAAAAATCTAAAACAAATTTTACCAGTCCGCCTTTTTTCGTTTTCTTTAGAAATTTAAATTTTTTTAAACTTTGTTAGACCAATACTCAATTATTAAACATTAAAAAACGTGAAACTTTGATTAATGTATAAAAATATATACAAATCAAGTTATATTACAAGTGGGTGGAATTTTTTGTCTGTCAGTACAAATACCTAGACAAAACCTGTGTAAAGAGATATTGTATTCCCGCGTTGTCTATTAATTATAATTAAATGCTTGCTCTACCTACGAAGTCGGATAAATAATTAGAGGGGCAATAAAGGGGCCGTTAGATGTTAATTGAACACATTTCCCCTCTGAGCTTGTGACAACGTCGGATCGCGATAACAGCCGTTAAAGGTGGAAACTTACACGTACCTCTCGCTTAGGAAACGCCCTCCTGATTGAGAAAGTTCTTGAGATAGGTAGCGTTAAACGGGACTCTACCACCTTAATGACAAGGGGTGATAATTACCATACACGGCCATATATTACCAAACCGATTAGTCTGAGGGAATCAGCGAGACGGCAAGACTAGATTTGCCCAAACCAGATTTAATTTACCCGGCCTAAACAAGCTTTAACAAGGTACAAAACGGACGTTATTATTTTCTACTTTACAACTCTATTTACAGAGAATTCGAAACAAAAGAATAAAAATTGTTTAAAAATGATTGGCAAAAAAAATTATACAACAAAACGGTTGGGTAACATTTAATGATCCAAAACCATTCTAACCCATGTGGGAACATGAGACGAATCGGGTTGGCTCTTTCGATTATAAATAAGAACAGTCCAAGTACTTCAAAAACAGGTGATCAGGATGATTTCTTCAAATGAGGCACTTTGCACTTGAATCGAACATCAGGTTGTAACTTGATTATCTCTCATTATCCTGATATGCCTAGTCTCGCTGGTTTTGTTTGTGCGGATCTGAGAATAGACATGATGAGGTAAAATCATGATTCAGGTTCATCACCTTGGAAAGTTCTTATTAAAAAAGTTAGGGAGCGTGAGATAAAGGTTAAATCATCCCAACTCAATGGCCAGAATTACGAGCAGAAGCTCTCCTAATCAAACGAAGAATTAAAAGAAAAACAATAACGACCTTTCCACGTCGCAATATAGTTCAAAATACGCCCAAGCAAAATAATTAATATAGGTTTTCGATAGGTCGGCTCGAAGAAACCGCGGTCGTAGGTTCGATTCTCACCGTTGCTTCTGGCTTTTTTCCCTTTCCGTTGCCCCTTAGAAAAGGAAAAAAACGCTCCATCTTGCATCTCCTCTGGCAAATACGCAAGATTATAAGGTCATTAAAATGTAGATTTTTTTAATATTGAACAACTATTTTTGAAACATCGATGAACAACATTGTTCCGACGAGTTATGATTATAATTTGTAGGTATCATTTTGGTCTACCTATCCCATGGATATTTCTTCTCCCTTCTTAACAGCTCTAACCAACCACTGAAGATTGCCAGAAGCGAAAAATAAGCAAGAATGTCGAAAAATCAGGACAAGGGTGATGGTGTAAAGTTTAGGATCATCTTGGTCTCCCTATCCTCGCGTCTTGGCTTGTCGGATGTGTTTCAGCTTCTCGTCATATGCATTTTTTAATAATAATTGTAATAAAAAAAATAACTGTAGATTGCAACAAGCCGAAATGCGTCTGAAAGGCCAAAACAGCGAGGATTGACAGAGTAATATAATCGGACAAGACCAAGCTAGAAGTTCATCACCGCAGACTCCAAGAAGAAATCTCACAATTATTATCATTTTTACTATACTTTATCCGTCAATAATGTACAGACAGTTGGTTATAGTTTCTACGCCAAACTAGACAATAAAACAATGAAACCCAAAACTAGGAAATGTGTATGAGATGAAGAATGGTAAGATTTTTACATCTGGTCTGCGGGGTGATGAACTTGTAAGGTGGTGGTCACCTTTAATTTTGGCTGTTTTGTCATTTCGGCATTTCCACTGTTTGACCAGGGATATAAACAGCGTGAAGGAAGACAACAGACTCAACATTGAAAATGGCCAGAAGCCGAAACGCGTCTGACAGACCAAACCGTAAAATGGTCGTTACCAATCGTTTTGATTCCATACTCGCTGCTTTGAGATAATTTGTTGACCTCTCCCTGATTATAACCCTGACTCGTCTGACATACCAATCCAGCGAGAATAGGGCAAAAAGAGACTAAAAGATTGGCAACGAACAAATTACGGATAGAGAATCGTGAGATAAAAGACATTTTAGACGAAAAATGCTACTTGTCTCCGTAGAATAACAAAAAATAGAATATCAATAATAGTCTCAGTAGAAAAATTCCTTTTCTAGGGCATCACCACGGATAACCATCTCATTCACAATAGCTTATTAAATTTAAAATCGTAGGAACTGAGTAAGCCTTGGAGCAATGTTGTCAGACGGATGGCTTGAATTGTTAAATCAACAATGGATTCCAATTAAGACTCGAGGGAGGAGCAGTGGACGTCGTCGTGTTTTAATTAAAACCACAAACCTGTTTGTAATGACTAGGCAAGGATTACAAGTACAATGGGTATTGATTTCATTGGTCCCAACCCTTATTTATACTTTGCTCGGAATCCGCACTTTTAAAAAATTACTTTGACGGTTTTAAACCACCCGGCCCCGGTGATTCGTTATGTAAAGGATCTGATACAAGTGCTCGCTTCGATTAAGAGTTTTGGAGAGCTAAAAGGTTTTCTAATTTCAATGGCAACCGGGCTGGGGGATGGTGACACAAAAAAACCATTGTGCAGCCCGTTTCTAGCGGCGTGACGATCCGCTAACCTGTTTAAATAAAATTCATCAAATGTTCATTACTTTAATCTCAATTTGGTTCCCGGTTTCTCATTTCTGGCCCCTCCTCGGTGTTTACCCACTCGGAGGGCACAAAGTGTGAAACCCTATCAGTGACTCGACTCCTTACCCGGCTAAAAACCTTCTTCAGCCTTGTTACACTTTAATTGAGCCATCAGCCGCTTATTACACAGCATAAATGGTTATCCCACAGGATAAACCTCATGATTTGAACCCTACAACATTTACCAAGTGTTGCATAATAGTCGCCAAATATTTCAATAATAGGCTAGCATAAAAGTTTCACTAAACAATTTGTTCTATAATTTCATTTTAAAAATGCATATAAAAATTCATCAAACATAGCCAATGAAATTAATGAAACTCAACTTGATAGGTCCTAAAAATAACTTTGTATAGTTAAAATAAAACCGCCGCTGCTTCAGAAAAAGGTGTCAACAAGCTCTCAGAAAGGTCAGATACACGCCGGTGTCCCACAAGGAAGCATTCTTTGTCCCATCCTTTATATCACTTACACTGCTAACCTATCTACACACCCCAATACAGCACTTTTCTTCTCTAATTTGGATCCTATCCAAGCTACCTCTGACATCTAAGAAAATTTGTGATTATCGAAGTCAGGTGGAAATCGTGGAGGACAAGAGGGAATGAAGAAAAAGTGTGTGAAGAAAAAACTCAAGTGTTCATTCACAACGAAAAAATAGTCTTGTCCTCCTCTGCCCATCAGTAACAAAGAGATACCAATGTCCATTCAATTAAAGTATGTGACCTGAAATGTATATACCTAAGCAGCAGTATATGACATGGGATCCCCACGCAAGACTTCTAGGACTGAAATCCTTGTTCCATCCATCTATACTGATCTAACCTTATACAAGGCTGCACTACAACCACTTTGGGCATACGGAGTGGAACTGTGGGTTCTGCCAAGTCATTCAGCATCCAGCACATCAATCCTTCCAATCAAAAGTCCTCAGACAAATTGTCAAACCTCCTTATTTCATCTCTAATCCCATTTCCAAATCTAACCTCTCAATCTGTTCTAACCCTACTGCTCGAGCCCTCTCAACCTATTTCAACCTCGAGAACTCGCCACATCACCTTAATTGATGATGCTTGATAACTCCTTGGCTGGATTCTCATGGCATGTGTCCTCTGTGTGCAGCATTGGCAATATTAGTGCTGTGACCGGTGAGAAAAAGTGCTGTGATCACATTTGTAATATGTACTAATATGCATAGGGTACAAATAAAAAATAATAATAATAAAACTAAAAAATAATACTAAAACTATTTTTAAATACATTTCATGTTCAGCACTATAGCACAAAATAAACTGGTTTATTTACATCATTTTATAATGGTCTTATTTCAGGATTTACTATTTAAAACAAAAAATTATTAAATTAGATCACAATAAGTCTCCGAGGTTGATACATACATAATTATGAAATAATTAATTTGAAATTTAACAGTTCATTGGCATAAAATAAATCATTTTCATCATTATTTGGATGCATATTTTTTTAACAATACAATAGTGTCCCAACTAGTCTGAACTGATTGGGAACCCGTTTTAGATTAGCTGGACAGTGTAAAAATTGGCAATAGAGTTTGGAGCAGGCAGTAACAATAATTGAATAATAATAATATATGAAAAAATAGAAATAAAATGACATACAATTTCCAAACAAAATAAATCTCTCCTCTTACAGAAATATGTTCAGAGCAGCACATACATTAGCAGGACTTCACTGTATTTTCCTTTTGACCATTTGATATTTTGATTTAAATATATTTTAATGTATAATAAATATATAAATTTTAATATATTTTTAACAGCAAGTTTTTACTTACATTTTTGAAAATTGAAGAAAGCACATTACACGAAGAATCCTCAAATAATGTTTCAACTATAAACAGAAAATAAATTATTAGTTAAAAAATAAATAAACAAATACAAGTTAAATCAGTTTGGACATTAACCTGTTTTGTCTATTAGCTTAATCTGAGCAGTGGTAAAAATCCCTCTAAGATCTGCCCCTGAAAATCCCTCAGTTTCTTTTGATATTTTCGTTAAATTCACACCAGGAGCTAAATTTATGTTAGCACTTAAAATTTTCAATATTTCCAATCTTTCATCCTAAAAAAGTAATGAATACTAAGATACATAATAATATTCAAAATGTAAATTGTTTTTTAAAAAAATCATAAAATCTATTTTGTTGTTTATCCTAAGTTACAGAATATTTTACGACGCATATATCGTCGACTGCCATAATAGCCTCAGGCTCCTTTGATTCTACCACCTTAATTGATTCCTGCTGTAACTTAATATGTAAATTTTGTAAAGCATACCTCATCTGGAAAGTGGCACATAACAGAGGTTCCAATTCTTCCTGGCCTGAGAAGTGCTGGATCAATAAGATCAGGTCTGCTGGAAGCAGCAATTATACTAACACCTACTAAAGGTTCGACCCCATCCAAAGCAGTTAATAATTGATTTACAACTCTATCTGTAACGCCTATCTCATCTTTTCCTCTCCTGGAAATAGACACAATTAAATATTACAAATAATAAATACTGAAAGTAGACTACAAACAGCCATTACCTCGGCGCCAAACTGTCAAACTCGTCAAAAAACAGAATACAAGGTTTTGCCTGTTGAGCTCTGAAAAGCAAAAAGTTACTAATAATGAACTATATTTACTATACACCCTTAAAAATACGTTCTATTTTAACCTCATAAAGAGTATGTATAAAGCAACACAATTCACAAAAAGCATAATGATCATTAAATGTACAAAGCGGAGTGCATTGATAAAAAAGAAAGCAATTAATTAAATAGCACTTAGACATTGTAACTGCTCAGGTGTATCATGAAGATAAGAAAAGAAGGAAATTTTATTCATTATTTTATTTTTTTTAATGGCTTTATGTTTTTACATATTAGCCAAAGTATGATACAATAATTGTTACAAAAGACATTTGGGGAGGCATAGGGGGTCAAAGATTCCAAGGGCTATGGTGGAAATTGAACCCACGTTCTTGCAGGTCTTTAACAAGCTAAAATGGCCTATTCGCTCGGCCCCATCATCATTAATGATAAATCACACGGGATCGCAACGGTCGAGAGTTAGAATGTCTGACGTGTATTTGCCATGATAGTGTTCCGGGTTCAAATCCCAGCATAGCTAGAATTTTAAATGGAAATTCTAAAATAAAAGTACTGTCAAGTCAAATTTGAACCATCGTTCACAACACCCAATGGGTAGTTTGTTGTTAAGCCCTCCCTTACATTACTTTTTTACTTGTGTAAATCATATTTAATTTTTAGTAACACTAATTAATTGGTGATTACTCTTATTATATTTAAAAATATTATGTTAATTTCATCAAAAGAGCTAACAATATTTCTGCTACAGCTACTTACTTTTTGAATATATTTCTGACACCTTCCTCACTCTGTCCTATGTACTTAGACATTAACTCTGGGCCCTAAGACAATATTATTTATTAATCGTAAACTTCACATTTTCAAAGTGTACTTTTATACTTTACCTTAACTGATATGAAATTCAATTTACTTTCCCCAGCCAACGAATTGGCCAAAAGTGTTTTTCCGGATCCTGGCGCGCCATATATTAAAACTGCGCTTTGCAACCTTAACGGGCATTGCTTCATAATATCTGGAAACTTAAATTTATATCTTTAACAACTGTACTTTCAAAGGTTTATAAAGAAAATATAATTTACGATTATGCTATTCTTACCAAAAGAGGCCAAAGTATAATTTCGGTAAGCTTTTCCTTAGCATCTCTCAAACCTCCTACATGCGAGAAATTATACGGTATTTTTTCATTTAGATTGATACCATGCAATGAACTTGGTTTTAGAGTTTTTAGAGATGTCTCCAGATCAGTAAACGTTATTTTTGAAATACCCCTGCCAACAGCTAAAGAAAATTTTACATATATAAATTTTTGGTAATTATTTTTATAAACTTTGTTGACTAACTGAAACAATTTTTCTTACATTTACAAAGGTTTTAACAGAAATGGCTAGTCAATCATCACAAGATGTGTCCCACCTAATTGAAGGGTGCAACTCCTTAGTAACGTATAGGAATGCCACCCGACATGAAAAATCATGATTGAACATGGCAGCGAGTATTTGTGTCCCCTGTAGTTTTATTGTATACAGTAAAGATAGTTTTGTGTACCTAACATGTTGAGAGGGAATGTATTTATTAGCGTGACCTAAATAAGATACCTATATATTCTGTTTTCTATGGGTTTGTTATATAATTCAAAATAAAATAATAAAATTTATTAGGTTGTCCAGAAAATAATGCAGATTTTTGTTTCCTTTCAATTACACCTCTATATAATTAACTGTTTATATTTGAAGGATTATTCTTTTGTACGAATGTCAACACTTTTTAATTCTCTTCCAAACGAAAATGTTTGTTTATCTCAGTAGCACTTTGTTACTTGAGAATAATTCAGTCTTAACTAAGATGTCAACGCGTGATTTTCGTGTAATTTCATTTTAAGGGTTTAAACTCGGTTGTTATGCGCCCAAACGGCTAGAAACATTAATGAGGTCTAAGGCATGGCAGTGTGAGTGAGAGCACCATTCAGACATGGTTTAAAAAATTTTGAGACGGAGACCTTACCTTGAAGACAAAATAATATTGTGGAACGACTTCTTCCCTAGATGATGTTCTGTGAGTTTTGGTCAAAGAAAATCCCAGAACAACTGTTCAAGAACTTGCAGAAAATTTTTCAGTTAGCAATTCAACTGCCGTTGATTACCTTAAGGCATTGGAAAGGTGAAAAAGTTCATAGTTGGGTTCCTCATGCATTAAAAAAACCACCAAAAAAAAATTGTCATTTAGAAGTTTGCGCAACACTTCTTTGCCGAAAAAAACAAACAAAACTTGTCTAAGTAAATTGTTACTTGTGATTAAAATTTGATGATATTTTTTATTACAGCAACAGACAAAGGAGAAGCAGCACCACATTCTCTATGTTTGGTCAATTGAAAAAAGCCAATTCACGATAACGCTTGACCCGATGTCTCACATATGACAACACAAAAAGTGTTGTAGCTTGGTTATTTTTATTTTATTAGGATCTGCCTCACCCTCCCTACTTGTCAGACCTCTCACCTACCAACTAACTTTTTTTCAGATACCTGGACAAAGTATTACAACATAAAAAGTGTATTTATCAAAAGACATTAGAAAATACGGTTACAGAATTTGTTAATAATAAAGACCCAAAATTATATTCATAGAGTGTAGAAAAGTGCCATCACATAAGAAGTGTTGAAAGTGATGGAGAGTATTTTAATTAATAAAAATTTTTAAAATTATTTATTTAATTGTTTTTTTTTTTTTACTTTACAACCATAAACCTGCATTATTTTCCGGACAAGCCACTATAATTGTACAACAAATATGACAAAAATTAATTTTTCACAGAATGCTTGAAGTACACAAACGGAACTAAAGAAAAACATGTTCAGTGAATGAAGAAATCAAAAAGATTTTTTTCTCTCTCTTTGTTCCGGAATTTTCCACTTCTGCACTCAATCTCAAAGCGTTAAGCTTAATTGAACATTTATTGTAAATTAATTAAAAAGCCTGCATTAGTTAAATTTGAAACGCCCACAGCTGAACCTCCTTATCATCAACTTGAATTCCAATTTGTGGATTATTTTTATCTTTTATCGTGTAACACTTAGAAACCAATTCTGAACAATGGCAAATAATTGTTTTGTTTGATTATTCATTATTCTCCTCTTATAGAACAATTGCTTATCTTTTCACTTAGCTTTGTGGAATTACTGTAATTTCTTCTTTGTAATTATTGTTATAATTTATTCTCCAAGTATTTGGAATAGTTTAAGCCTTGAAAACATGCCTTATACAAATTATTTTGACAAATTAATTATGATTGTTCATGTATAAAACTACCCTTGGAAAATCATATATCCTTCAAAAAATAAATGAATAAATAAATTATACACTAGGTATAACTATAAACAATTTAAAATTGCATATAATATAATTTTTGTACCACATACATGGGAATTTACAAATCATGGTTATTACATAAATAAAAATAAAAATTAATAGAAAAATACCTGTCCTTTGATATTTTTCAAAAAAGGATTTATCGATTAGCTTGACCAAATCTGACACCAAAAAGCCATCAGTCCTCAAAGCAACAGCGTTCAACTCATCATCATCAATATTAACAAATTTCTCCTTAGAATTTATCAACGCTTTGATAAAGAAGTATCTTTCGCCCTACAATGCCCAACACACAACACAAATGATGTAATGAGAAAAAATGAACAATTATAAAATATATGAATGTATTAATAAAACTAATGATACCAAACACCTTTGTAAGCTCAGGTATGTCTAGCTGGGTTGTAAACAAAGATTTCCCCCTGGGGGAACAAAGAATCGGATTCACAGCTTCCAAAGACAAAGAGCATGCAGTTACCAATATTAAATTATCCTTTTGAAAATCCTCGACAAGCTCAGTTATTTTGTATGATATTCTGCAATAACAAACCAATAAACAGTTTAAGCTCTAGTATTTATTTATTTTTTTTTTTAATTAACTGCATTTATAAAAAATGATACATTTTTTATATTTTTTGTAGCATTAAAATGATCTACGGAGGCATTGGTGGCCATGACAGTTTACGTGTTGACACAGCGCTCATTACTTAAGATCCAGCAAGCCTGCATTTGAACCCGACATACTTACAAATGAACTTTTTTCAAAACACCTGCACCCGGAGGATTCATATAACTTACATTAAAAAAAGAAAAAAAAAAGAAGTACCTGTTTACATGCATTGTCATTTCTGTGGCTTCATTTTCTCCTTTTGTAGCACTTGCCAGAGATGAAATATTATCAAGAAAAAGTATGGATGGCTGATGAATCCTGCATGCATTTAAATGATCTGTAAGTGTTTTCGTGACGACTTCAATTTTTTTTCCTGTAAAGAAAAACTATTTAATGGCACTAAAAATTATTTTGGTTAATTTAATTACGAATCTGTACAATATGAATGTGTATAGTGTTTATCATTTGCAATTTAACTCTCAGCTCATACATCCTGAGGTTGTGGGTTCTATTCCTACTGTCCCCCCCCCCCAGGCATTTTTATGCTCCTGTTTCTCCAAAAGCACAATGTACAAAAGTACAATTCATCATACTAGCTAATATTGTCAAAGTAAAGACATTTTAGAGAAAAAGTGAAAAAAGTCAGAATTTCACTTCTCATTAAGTGTCTCGTTAAATAGAAAAAGTTAAGCTTTTGGTCTTATGATTGGACCGTCATTCCACGTCCATTTTCCACATCCTACATGTATTTGTTAAATGTAAACAACGTTTGTAAATTCCAGGCCCTGAAGATGATCTCAATAAAGATCGAACGTGTGTGGTGATTAGTGACCGTTAATCGATATTTATTTAGAAATCGTGAGATGCAGTCTGGTGTGATGTAGGTTTCAGAAAAACATTTTCTTTATCGTGCCAACGTCTCGATCTTTATTGAGATCATCTTCAGGGCCTGGGATTTACAAACATTGTTTACATATTACAATTAAAATAATACAATTTTATAAATCCCAGGCCCTGAAGATCTCAATAAAGATCGAAACGTTGGCACGAAAAAGAAAATGTTTTTCTGAAACCTACATCACACCAGACCGCATCTCACGATTTCTGAATACTTATGATTGGATTTGAATTAGTCACATGTCTAACTGTAAAACTTCGCATGAAATAATACAAGTAATTTACTAAGTTCTCTGGACTTAACCACGCCATCTGAAGCTAACAATGCAATACAAACATGATTAAAAGAGTGTCAGTGTCGGTGGGTTGGATCGGCAGAGAAGCTCTCATATATCGACTGGGTGGAAATTAGAGGATTTGACTCATAGAAGCGGGGGGTCATCCTCACCTGATTAAGAGTAAGCCATGTGAGGTTGACACACGGACACTTATTTTAGGACCAAAGCCCACATATGTCGGAGGGAAGAGGGTTGCCTGATGTGACCCACCATGTTGAAAGGTTCCATGGCTACACATAGAGAGGTTAGGAATATGAGAATTGTGCTTGAGCATGAAAGCAAGTACCGGGGTTATTTTATTTTATGTAGTAACGTTAGTTTTGTGCCCCTAGAGAGAGTTGTGAGTATATTATTTATTAGCATTTATATGTTTTTGAGCCCACTGACGTTCAATTAGGTTAGTTATATATAGGTGTAAAGGGTGATGGAGTTAGCTTCTATAAATCAGTAATTTACATTTATTTCTGGTAGTACAGATATTGCATACCTTTCAATTTTGAGCAATCCAACTGTTCAGTGTAGAGAAAATAAGGTGGACCCATCAAAATTTTTAAAAGTTTCTCTATAAATGTACTCTTTCCACACCTACTGGGGCCTAAAATAATTGATAGTATTAATACAACATACAATTTCGTAAATAAAGGAATAACAACAATTTTTTATATCACAAATAATCATGATATTAAAAGGTAAATTAAACTATTAAAAATATGTATACTAATTTTATTTTAATTTAATTGCACAACCTGTAACTATAAAATTATCAAAGAAATGTATATTTCGCCTTTGTGTTTCATTGAGGCTTAGAGAAAACGTCGATGTCAGTATGGCATCTTGAATTAGCGGTTTAAACAAACTAAAATAATAGAAATAAATTAACTTAGCAGATCAATACAACTTGTAATAATTAGTTTTAAAAACAGACCCATCTAAGCTTTTGGAAGATATCGGTGACGTCTCTTCTTCAGTCATGTCGTTAGAGTTAAATTCATTTATAGCTATCGATAAATCTTTGAGTGTTTTTAGCTGTACATATCCACAGTTGAGATCCAAAGGTCTAAGGGTTAGAATGACATTTTTTCTTTTGTCCAGTGGAAACATAGTTTTTGTATTCAATAACAAATTGCCAAAATTTGTGATGCTATGAAATAAGGCATTGTACACTTCTAATTTTAAGGCTTCGTTGTCCTAAAATAAAATTGATAACATACACAACAATTAAATTAAAAATAAAACTAACAAAGTTACCCAAATTAAAATTTATTTCTGTTCGTTTATATATCATTTTGATCTGAAAGAGGTCATAATCTAAGGCAATAGTTTATAAAACCTTAGATCAGTTTACCAGTAACTTTCTTTCTTCCAAATTCTCCTTTGATTACTTTCTGCAAAGTTTCATATATTCTTTTAAATCAACTTTAGTGCCTGTGTCGAGATTGAAGTACCAGTAACCACGATGCTAGACATGTGCTTCCGGCTATCTTGCTGGGGGTCACGGCGTGTTTTCAAGGACATTGCTTACAGTTCCTCTACGCACTGTCAGGGTGTTTCGACCAGGGGAAAAGGGCTTCCGTCGCTAGCGGTTTCCAGGAGAGGTGGGAAGCATGAAAATCTTTCTGGGCTTGTGTTAAATGTGTTTTCTTGTTATTTTAATAGTAATTTGACAATCTGAGGTACCTTCAAGAAGTTAGCAAGATAAGAAAACAGGAGACAAAATATGAGAGTCAGAGACAAAGATGGGAGAAAAAAAATAATTTTCCATTTAAAGCGCAGAGGGCCGGTGATAACCACTTGATGTTTGTCGGCCAATAAATAATACATATTTTCTACTTAGATCAGTTAGCTAAGGATAAGCAAAATATCCTGTTAAAGCGACTAATCACAAAAAAAAAAAAGCCCATTTGTAAGCAAGTCAGATTTGAATCCAGAGCAGCTGGATTTGAACCTGTGACCTTTACCTTACAGTGATGAGTTGCCATGTCACTGTCTTAACCATTGCGGCCACTGATGCCCCTAATCTCATCTTTAATAAGTACATAAATTTTATGTATTATTTTAGTATAATAAAATTATTCTGTTACTTACTTAAGAGAATTTGAGAAAAGTGTTACGTTTTGATACAAATTTACAAATGAATATCCTTTAATAAGTAATTTTAATTATTATTTTTTATGTAGAACAATTATAATAGATAATCTTAACGTGTGGAAATAAAGAGAACCTCACCTCACATGGAAACAGTGGTGATACAAGTATACCGACAATTTCTTTCCTCGTAGTTTTTTCTTTTTCCGAAATCAAAACAACTTTAGTGCCTGTGTTGAGATTGAAAAAGTTCCGGACACTTTTTGAAACAAACAAACACTTCATTCCACAGCTATCTCTTCCTCTGAAGTGGTCGTTTTTTGACGATACATACTCCAGATGAACATATAGTTCGGATTTGCTTGTTGTGTCATTTCCCATTGTGGCCAATTTCATTTTATAAAGTAAAGGAGTGTCGCTACTCTCAATCGTATCGTCAGTCAAATCATTAAAAGCATAGACAACAAAAGGATGGCAAAACACTTTTGAACGCTTATCAACATCATTTCCTATTAGAATGCTGCGGAATTTCAAAAGTTTCTTCTCTGTTTTGGAATGGTCTGAAAATGATTTCACATAGTTTGGAACTGGCTTGTTCACAATATTGTTATTATTTTTCACTATGTTGCTAACAACAACTTCTGTATACTCTTCAAGGCGGCCAAAATGTATATCTGGAACTACTGAATCTGTAATATAAAATAATTAAAATTAAAATGCAAAACTTAATTTTTTTAAAGTCACATTACCTATGACTAAAGTAACACAGATGTTGCTTGATATCCAGGCACAGAATTTTTGCTGAACCCATACTATCCTTAACTGATTTAAAAGATTGGATTCCACAGCTGAACTAGATTCTAACTAAAAATATCACAATTGAAAGCTCGAGAATAAAAAAAAATTCAAACTATCAAGTATTACTAAAATTGCATAGTCGTCTTCGCTAGCGGGCGAGACAAAGATTCTCTTTATCGATCCCAAATTGTACACGGGGAGAATTACGAGCACATCGTTTTCGCTCAATCCCAACGACCTGGCGTAGGCAGAACTTATTCCGACACTGTCGTTCTGCAGGCCATACTGAGGCAGAGGACTGGAAGAGAAATAGTAAGTGTTTTCCTTTAAAATCCCTTTGAGGCAGCAAATCTGAAAATCAACGAAGTCTAATTGTAAATCGATAAATAAAAAAAATACCATAGCTTCTATCCTTTTAGTTTCATTTATCAAAATGCAAACAATATGACATCCATTAAATTTCTATTGTCTGATAAAAATGGGGTAATTCATTGAAAGTATGATTTCTTTGGCTGCACTTTGTAAGCCATAAACTTCAAAGATGAAATTTACCAACATTTAACTTTGTCATCTTTAAAAAACAATTATTTAAATACATTTACATTTGTTTGTTTTGATACAATGAGTTTTAAATTTAGAAGCCAATTACAGCAAAAATAATTGTTGAGTATAAAATATTACATTTTTGACTGTAAATTAATATTGGTTGTTTTCTATTAAACAATGCAACTTGTATTATGCTGAAGGGCATGACAATGTCAAAAACAGGATTACTCTTGTGCTATGCTAATTATATATGTAAAGAGATATAATTTCAATAACAGTTGTTTTAGAGGGGAAACAACTAAAATATTATTTAAAATAATTCACCTGTTGAATTTAAAACAATTTAAATCCAAAATGTAAATAATCAAGTTCGTGAAACTAAATTTATTGGAAATATTGTATAAATAATTAAGAAAATATGAAAAGTAAAGAGAGAACAAATGTTTTATTATATTTTAATTAATTTAAGTAGAGTACAAATAAAATAATTTAAAAAAGATCATACGTTCTAGATATTTTTTATTATTTCTAATCTATATCTTAGGGAGTCTTCTGTCTAGATTTTAGGAACACTAAGTGATTTTTATATTAAAGAATGGTATTGTAGTACCAAATTTAAAAAAACAGGTCATTAATGTAAACCATATAATTTAAATTAATTACACTTTTTCTCAAAGGTCTTGTTTGAGATGAAAAAAACGAGCGGGAATTTATACGCCATTGCTCTAAATACTTGAACTATCATGACAAAGTGAAAGGATCAGTTGAGTCCATTAGTTTCAAAATTGGCTCAATCCAATTTCAAAATTTTTACAGGAGACACAAAAAACGTTTTACAGCCATGAAATATGATTTAGATTTTTTAAAAATTTTGTTGGGAAGAAGGAAGGTCTCCAAACAATTAAGGCATCGTTGTTTTCAATAATATATTATTTCCAATATTATATATTTCCAGATATCCTTTTTTAAACATACAACTATGTAACAAACGATCAAACCACTTCATTTAAAAAAAAAAGGATGTAAATTTAAAGCAGTTCTAAGTATTAGTATTATATTTTGGTATATTTTTTATTATCATACATCAAATTATTTAATTATCTAATTACCTGTATATAATTAGAACAACTTTCATTATTTAGTCACTGAAGATTGCATACACTAGATCAAAATGTATCTAACAAAATAAACACCTATTGTGGAAAAGACAATTTATTTCTTACCAGTTCCACAAAATTAGGATGGACTCTATGTAATGTGGACACTATCAAAAAATATTATTTCCAGGTCACCAAAAATTTAAATTTAAATTTTGGATTGAGCCGGTTTCGAAGTAATCTGTGTAGCTAATCAATCATTTTGGGGGAATAAGTTAAAATTTCTCTCAATTTATTGGTCCAAATTCCACCTATTTTTGTAAACCTAGGTTTCAATAAAGTTGCTAGTTGTTATGCATTGAAAACTTGTGAAAACTAAAAACAAATGTTTTGTAAAAAAAAAAAAAAATGTGGATTGAACTGGTTTTGAAACTAATCGCCTAAGTTAGTGATGAACCAAATTAAAATCAAAATATAAAAACATGAATTATAATTTGTACAACTTTCATTATTTAGTCACTGAAGATGGCCTACACTGGATCAAAATGTGTCTAATGAAATAAATGCCTATTGTGGAAAAGACAATTTATTTCTTACCAGTTCCACAAAATTAGGGTGGACACTATGAAAAAATATTATTTCCAGGTCACCAAAAATTTAAATTTAAATTTTGGTTTGAGCCGGTTTTGAAGCAATCTGTGTAGCTAACCAATCATTTTTGTGGAATAAGTTAAAATTTCTCTCGATTTATTGGTCCAAATTCCACCTATTTTTGTAAACCTAGGTTTCAATAAAGTTGCTAGTTGTAATGCATTGAAAACTTGTGAAAACTAAAAACAAATGTTTTGCAAAAAAAAATGTGGATTGAACTGGTTTTGAAACTAATCGCCTAAGTTAATGACGAACCGAAGTAAAAATAAAATATAAAAACACGAATTAAATTTGAATATAGTTTCAAGCTGCAATTAAGTTAGAAGTGAAGTAAGTAGTCGTTTACTTAAAATTGTGTGATTTTAACAGAACAATCCTCTGTTGGGATCGTTTCACTTGGGCAAGTTTCACCCCATATCGTTGGGGGTGTGGTTATTTCCATACAGCAATAGGGCAACCCATATTCCAACTTTCCCGCTCATCTCCCAATGGCCCGTACCTTCCTTCTCATAAAAGCTTGAACATTTATTGTTTATGATTATGATCACACAAGACAGAGTATTCTTTGTTCTTACTATTTTTCCCTGAATTCTTATTATTGATACCATTATTTCTATTTTTTATTTTCTGTATTATGAGTTTTATGTCAATTTATTTTACGATGTGTTAACATCAAACTTTCATCAATTCAAGTACCAGATGAAATCATTACTTTGGTAGAAGCAATCCAAACACAGAAATTTTGGTTGAAGAAAAAAATACCACCTGTAGTATCAGCTTTTTGTCTGTTGTCCTTGTGATATATTCAATGTACTCAAACAAACTCTCCCCAACTCTTCAATTGGAATACAAGCTCAACATACTCCATCTACTTTTTACTCAGAAGATAGGTCTGAATTCCAGTTCCTAGCTAATTCAATTTTCTTGGAAGATGCACATCTGGCATTTCCTGACCATCACCTGGTTTTCACCGACGGGTCAGTCCTAGGGGGAAAGGTGGGTTGTGCGTTGTACAACCCTGTGCTTAATATTTCTGAACTCTACCGGTTGCCAGAAACGGTTTCGATTTTCACGGCCGAACTATATGCCATAATCAAAGCTCTAGACCACTTAAGTAAAGTAGACAGTTCTACATTTTGCCTTATCATGGACAGCAAAAGCACCATAGCACAAATTGAAAACTTCAATACAAATTCAAAAAGTGACTATCTTTAGAGTGAATTAATAAAGACACATGACCTAAAGAGTTGCAACAAAACTGTCGTCTTCTGCTGGAGTAGGGCACACATTGGCATAAAAGGCAATGAAATGGTTGACCAGTTAGCCAAACAAGCAACGAAGGAAGGTGAATACTCGGACATCAGACTTCCAAGACTGGATGCCAAGCGTTTACTGAGCTCTGTGTGGAAGAACGAATGGATCGCCTGGTATAACAGGAGTAAAGGAGGAGCATCCTGCCGATCAATATCAATCAATAGACCAACCACTGTTCCTTGGTTCAAGAACGAACACGGAAGTAAAAAATTCTTTTCGGTTTCAACATGCTTGAGGACAAACCATGCTATCTGCAGATCTCATTTGTATAGGATCAGACTCAGACAGTCGCCAAATTGCCCAACCTGTGACGAACCAGAGACCCTCAGACCCTTAGTGTTCTCCTGTATGCAGCACGAAACTACTAGAGCAACTCTTTTTGACCGACTCTTCCTGCTGAAAAAAAGCAATTAAGCGTTTTGTTTTGAGAGCCTGTTGGCATCAGGTAACAGAAAAGTTTATAGAGGAATTTATGAATTTCTACAGAACACCAGGTTGGACATATAATTAAGGCAGATAGCAGGCCGGGTGGGTTGCTGACTCACGGGTAGTTGAAGAAAGTGCACAGGGCAAGTTGTGCCCCGGACTGCAGGGAAGATGTGGACTTTTCCACGGCCCCACCAGGGGATGTAGGTGGTTTTCATCCGCATCTTTTAGGTGCACTTCGGCCGACAAAAAAAAAAAGTGCCAGATGAAATAGGTATACCGCAAAGTTCTGTTGTTCCGGTTACAGCAAGTTTCAACAAGTATGTGCATATTCATTTGTTGATGCATATTTGGCTCTCTCTTTTTATCACTGATCGCATACATATTGACCTAGCAAATGAACTAAAACTAAAGTAAATGAAGATGATTCATGTTAGTATTAAGTGAGACGCAATCGTGTACCCATGGCTATTGATAAAGTTCATTTATGCCACTGTATTTTGTATGAATTCCAACAAGGAAGAACGGTACAGAAGCAAGTAGAAATTTATTAAGTTTTTAGCAAAGGTATAGTACTGTATACAATATTTGTATATTTATTATGGACATATATCAACTAATTTATTTGTTACATTTTGAGAAATTGTTTATATGTGTATGCTTGTTTATTTTATTTTTTTTCTCTTTAGTTGATTTAATGCAGGATTCAATGTCTCTTACATACATTATAAACATATTATGCGTGCCAACTTCCGCAGACAGTTGAAATCTCAAATTTTCAAAGTTTTCTGTACAATTCATATTTGTGTGGTTTTTTGAGGAAAAGATATTAAAAAAAAAAAAAAAAACGTTTCTATTCTATCGTACACTGCTTTGGTGATTCGTCAGAAACACAGAGCTATGCTGGGAAATTCTGTCACGTCCACCGTACTCCCTGGACCAAGCGCCCTCCGATTAACATTTGTTTCTGTCCTTACAAAATTTTTTGCAGGGCGAAAAATTCAAAAACGAAGAAGATATCAGACAAGCACTGGTTCCATTTTTCGCCCCTACGAATAAGGCATTTTTTAAAAATGGGGCATACAAATTGCCATCGCGGTGGGAAGAAGACATAAATAATTATGGAAATTATATTATTCAATACACAGAAAACACACTTCGAGAGAAAACTAAAATTTCTTTATTGTGTACATCACTGTATAAATTCAATTTCACATCTTACATGTATTTGTATCATTTAAACATTGTTTATAAACCCCAAACCCTGAAGATCTCAAAAAGGTCAAAACGTTGGCACAATAAAGAAAATATTTTTCTAAACCTACGCCATACCAGGAAGCATCTCCCATTCTCTAAATAATCATTAATTACAGAAATGTGTGGTGATTAGTTACTGTTAATTGATAATTATTTAGAAATCATGAGATACGATCTGGTGTGATGTAGGTTTCAGAAAAACATTTTCTTTATCGTGCCAACGTTTCGATCTTTATTGAGATCATCTTCAGGGCCTGGTATTTACAAACATTGTTTACATTTTACAAATACATGTAGGATGTGGAAAAAAGTGAATTTATACAATGCAAAATATATTTTTTTATATATTCAATCAAAGTATTTCTATTCACCTCGCCTTATACAAAAATGTCTTTTCTATACCGACTTCCTTCCCCACCTCTTCAAAATCCAACATATATAAAAATAAAACAGCAATATCTCACTGGCACTCTCATCACGACATGCAAGAATAACACGATTTCGCAGAAAACAAACACTTTATGTGAGTAGAAATACCTTGATTGAATATATAAAAAAATATATTTTGCATTTTATAAATTCACTATTTCCACATCCTATATGTATTTGTTACATTTAAACACTGTTTGTAAATCCCAGGCCCTGAAGAGGATCTCATTAATGATCGAAACATTGGCACGATACAGAAAATGTTTTTCTGAAACCTACATCACACCAGACCACATCTCACGATTTCTGAATAATTAATTACAGAACAGATACATGCAAACTCAGCCGTAACAATGTCAACATCATAAAGCAAATGAATTATTAAACCTTATTTTTATATTTCCCTACTCTTCGTTTATCGTCCTTAATAATTAACTTCCTTTTCAATATTGAATTGTTTTTCTAAACCTACATCCCCCCAGACCGCATCTCTTGATCTCTAAATAAGCATTATTCAATAAAGTTTTTCCAAGGTATGAAAAATTTATTATTTTGGTTTATTCTAAAAACGGACAGAACTTCCCAGTCGTTTTTGTGACCTTACTCTTAGGGGACTCCAGTCCCAGAATAAAGCATTTTCTCTCCCTCTCTCTCTCTCTTTCTCAACAAGCCATGCAAATGGTTTTTCTTCTGCGTACCCAAATGAACGTTTATTAAAGCAAATCAGGGAGTACACCGTAAAGCAGATGCGCCTGGGCTTCCTCCATGTTGACAGTGGTGTCCTGACCATCTACCTGGGGCACATCATGACTATACGGCTAATACATAAAGACAAAAGAAAGAATTTGACCCAAGACACATCCTTTTTCTTTCCTTTTCCAGATTAGAACCAAGTACAAAAAATCAAAATGGTAATTTTCATGTTATACGCTGACTGATAAACTGAACATAGCAGCCTTAATTGTCTGTGTAGATGAGAATATTTTTCTAACCAGTATAAATATGAAAATCATTCTCCTCCTTGGTAATTATTTATGCAAATTTTTTCCGATTAAAAAACTGCCATATAATGGTACAATTAATTGCTAATTTAACCAATTGTTATATAATATTTATGAAATACAAAAAAAAACATTGATAACGGATATTATTATTATTTTTTTAGAAATGATGTGACAATGATGAATAGATTTTATATTAACGCAATTAATACTGATCCTTACTCCAGGAGAGGTGAAGTTCTTGTGCGTCGAAGGTGAAAAGTGCAAGAAATTGTCTTTGACGTTGACGAACTTCAGTCGTAAAACTTCTTTTTGCATTGTTGGGCAGGCGGCATTTCACGTTGACGAGCGAGTCGGAGTTGTCGATCGTCGGGACAACCGGTGCACGACGACATTCGACAAAGACGAAAGTCGAAAACTGAGCTCAAAATCCAAACGTTGACACTTCAACGGGACAGGTTCTAAAGTGCAAAGTCCCAGGCGGCTTCGATCCGCCGTCACCGTGTTGCGTAACTCGTCCTGATGACGATTTTATTGACTAATTTGATGAAGTGAGCAGTCAAGAATGAAGTAGTTTAGAAAAACACCTATTTAATTTTTTGCCGTTTCGACCTTTATTCGGGTCATCTTCAGGGCCTGGATAAATTACAAAACAGGGTTACCAATAGGGGTCTCCGTTATCACCATTTTCATGCCTAAATATTCATGGATAATTTTGAAAAAATCTTTTCAAATCAAACAATTTAATTAAATCTGTTCTTTCTTGGAAACGCTATGTAGACGATATTTTACTCATATGGTCGGGAACATTAGAGGATCTCAAAGAATTCCTTCGAATAATTAATTCTCTACACCGTAATATAAATTTTACATTGGAAATTAATAAAGACGGTTGTTTGAACTTTTTAGACCTAAAATTGTCCATATTAAACAACCTAATTGAAATAGTCTTATATAGAAAACCCACAACTACAGACATTAAGATACCAGCGGATTCTTCTCACCCATAGATCCAAAAAGCTGCCGCTAACTATAAAAAAGAATTAGAAACTATTAAAACCTTAGCAAAAAACAATGGATATCAAGAAATATTTATTGATAGGTTGCTAGTTAAAAGAATAAAAAATTTAACTATACAAGAAAGAACAATAGGACTTAACCACCCCACCATAAATGAATCATTAGGTTTCCGTTGCTTGCCATACATTGGTGAACTATCAGAAAACGTAGGTAAAATTCTTAAACAAGAAGATTTTAGAATAGCTTATAGAAATACGTGTTCACTTAGAAACATCCTCTCAAAACCTAAAGATAAGGTAGACAATTGGCAAAAAGCGAAGTTTACCAACTTAATTGTAATGATTGCGACATTAAATATGTAGGACAAAACAAATCCCAGTTAATATTTCTTTATTATTTAATTTTTTTTATTATTATTTTTTGTGATTAGGTTGAAATTTCGATGATTTAAAGTGTTATTATTTAAAGTTAAAAATATTTGATTCTGGCGTAACAATTAATTCTATAAGTTTATCTTTATTTAAACGCATAATACAGTCCATTAAAATAAAAAATTGCGATTTTAATTTAAAAAAATACTATAATTACAATTTGCGGAAACAAATTAGAGCCATTTACAAAAATTAAATAAGAATTCAAATAAAAAGTTTTTCGTGTAAGAAATCGTTTGTCATCGACGTGTGCCTTGTATCTTATCGTATTCATTTATGAAACAAACAAAAATCGGAATTATACCCTTTAAGGATCAATTCTATTTTGAATTCGATAAGAAAAAACACTATTCCTTTTTACCACATTACAACTTCCCTACAAATAATTTGAAAAATTTGAACACTACAATAATAAAGGCTTAAATACGAATGAAAATTATGATAAAGATCCACAAAAAACAATAATGAAAATAAATTTGGAAACGATATCAAACAAGATTGTTCATTCGCCTGCCTATCCTCTTAACCCACCACAACTACAAACTATGAAACAAATCATTTATGATCTTTTAAAAAAGGGAGTTATTTCTAAAAGTTATAGCCCATACGCTCCAATCTGCCTTTCTAGTCCCGAAACCTGACAAAAAAATCCTACCGATTGGTGATTAACTACAAAAAAATTAATGAAATTATAAAATATGTTGGTTATCCTTTACCAACTATTAATTCTGTTTGGGACTTTTTACGGGAAGCAAATTATTTTTCAATAATCGATTTAAATCAGTCATTTTGTCAAATACCGCTGAATTAACGTCATTCGTCGTACCATTTGGAAAATACCAGTATAATTTTCTTCCATTTGGCATGAGAGCAGGAAGTGGATATTTATCTACGCTCATTGATGAGTTTTTCGGGGAAGAAAAATTTAAATTTATTTGGTCATTTGTGGACGACTTATTAATTTATACAAAAGTAAATTTATCGGAGCATAAAAATGTATTAGGCTATGTATTTAATAAAACGAGACACGCTAACTTAACCGTGAACCCCCCCCCCAAAAAAAAATGCAATTAGCAAAAAGTTTTTTTTCTTTTTCATATCAACCAAAACCTTACGTAAAAATGTAACAAAAAAATCGAAATGAACAGGTATAGGTAGGCAAAAATGATCAGTAACGACTAAATTTTAAATAATATTTGTATCGTCAATAAATGTCTAATCCTAATTTTAAAAAAAGCTTCGATTGAGAGAAACGCTGATATAAACAAGTGTTGTTTTTGCCTTTTTGAGACATGGTGTAATAAATATAGTTATCAAAAATTGGCTAAACAAAATTAATTTTATTTTTGATTTTCAGCTTTGATTTTATCCAAAATCAAATAAAATCCAGTGTGGATAATTGAACCATATCCGGAATTAACTGACTGCCTTTATTTAGGACAATGTTTCAAAAGTTCTGGAAAAAATATGAGGTCGTCAATAAAGAGCCGAACAAAAACCCCGTCAGCGAAAATGTTCATTATAATGGATATTATTTTATTTTCTATTTTTAGACCAAAGTGTTTTCGTTTTCGTCTATGATTCCAGGTAAATATTCAAGTTTCACTACCTATCTTGAATTGGTGTACGAATTTAAGTCGAATCTAAATAGAGAGAAAAAAGCGACTGAAACTGTCGCGTCTAGATTTCAACGCAACCAGGTTATTGCAAGGATTAGTATAGTGACTTTTTTAAAAGACTTGTTTGATTGGAAAAGCATAATTTCAAAAAGTATTTATTTCAAATTAAAAATGTTTATTTTATGCGAAAAGGGTCAATTTTAAATTAAAAAAGTTGATTTTACGGGAAAAGGGTTAATTAAAACAAATTGGTTAGAAAAGTCTTAATTTTAAATTAAAACGAGTTAATATAGTGGGAAAATTGGTTAATTTCAAATAAAAAAAAACTTAATTTGACAGATTAAAATAAATATCTCTGAAAACGGCTACAAGAGAACGGTAACGTCGGGAAATACAGCGACAAAAAAACTCCTCGACTAACAATGAACGAATATTATATCCACTACGACCGACAAAAACAAAAAGCTCGGCCAATTTGTGTTGGCATTAAATTTGAAATTGGCGTCAAGCAGAGTGCGCATGTGCGCGGTGTGGTTGAGGCCAATTGGGCTACGCATACATCCGTCCAATCGGATCGTCGGCCATCCAGGTTTAACAGAACGATTTTTAACGGTCTTTCAGACGAACAGTCAGGCCCGATTCGTCGATGCGTTGAAGAATTAGTTTCCGTAAAGCCGAAGTCAGAGGATCACTGAGGATAAACCGCCTGCAGCCCGCTCTCCTCTCCAGCCCTTTTCTCCGTAAATGACTTTCGACCGGAGTTGATCTGTGGACGTCGATTGTCTCACAGAATTTTGGATTCGAACCTTGGAGCCAGGCTAAGCACGGGTAAGTCCCAACGGCTACTTCGCCACCACTTTAAACTTATTTACTTTAAAGCCCGAGAACTGGGTGATTTGTAGACTGAAAAAAAAAAGATTCGGAACATAACTCCCCGTTTTAATATCGTTACCTGTTGGATCGGGATTCATGTTCTCGCTGGTAATTTCATGTTCTGTATAGAAACGATAACATCTCCACTTGGAAATTTAATCGTGGATAGTTTGTTTTCAAAATTTATGTAAGATTTAACATTTAAATTAAAAAAAAAAAATTACAATTGATATTTTGTCCCCTTCCGGGAATGCAGGGTTTTAAGTTGTAACGGATTTTCCAGGTATTATCCGATTTGACTCCCACCGCGGGCATAAGGTGCATAACATAAGACGAACACGCCGTATCATGCCTAGTGTTTTTTTATTCTCTTCAAAATCCGTTCAAACCCCATTAAATCATTTTAACTGTAACAATTTAATAAAGTCAATGTAATATTTCATGAAAACATGCGCCGCCAATTTTTAATTTCACAAATCAGCATATTTTCTTCCTCTTTCCCTTGGATGTGTTACACCATGATTATCTAGTCAACTAAATAAATGCTGATTTAAACTATTGAGCTGAGCCAGTCACCACTACAACATCAGATCCACTCTGGACTCTGAACATCTTCAATGAAATAGAAGCAAACCGGGTTTTCTTCAGTATAAGCCCCCAGTTTTTAAAATAGATATTTCTTCTATTTTACCATTCAGATGCCATTGTAAACTAAATAGGAAAAATAATGAAATTATTATGTAAAGGTGAATAAACCGTCCAACCAAAAGTGAGGACTTATGTTGAGTTGGTGCAAAGTTAATGCAGGTTTTGAAAATTTGTTTTATTTTTGCAGGTGCTTGTCATGTAAAAAAAGCTAAATCCTCAAATCTGCTTTATATATTAAAGTAAATACTTTTAACTGTTATCTTTTATACGAAACATTTTTGTTTATCCATTTATATTTAGAGGTCTAATTGAACGAATTACTTATTTCATAGTTATTCAGATATCGTGAGATGCGATCGGATGTGATGTAGGTTTCAGAAAAACATTTTCTTTATCGTGGCAACGTTTTGATCTTTTATTGAGATCATCTTCAGGGCTCAAAGTGTTTGTCTTGTTGGCACGATAAAGAAAATGTTTTTCTGAAACCTACATCACACCCGACCGCATCTCACGATATCTGAATAACTATCGATTAACGGTCACTAATCTCTACACATTACTTCTTTCAATTAATTGGACTTTTTATGTAAGATCTTGGTTGAGATGAAAAAGTTGGTGTCACGAGCAGGATTCGAACGCACGACCTTCGGGTAAATACGCCGCTGCTCTACCACTTGAGCTATCGTGACTTCGATCATCTCGGACACCAACTCCCCATATCAACCTACAACCTTTTGAAATTTTCTTCCTCTTTGGTTGACGACTAAGTCAAAACGTTGGTTGAAGAAAATCCGCATAAGAAAACGCAGGAAATTGCGGAAGAGATTAGTGTTGACCACTCAACCTTTGTTCGCCATCTGGAGCAAATTGGTAAAGATGCATGACAAGTGGGTACCGAAGCGTAAAGAAATCAACGCTTTGAAATTTGCGCGTCTGTCCTGTTACACTATGAAAATGATCCATTCTTGATCGAATCACAGGAGGCGTGTCAGTGGTCGGTCAAGGACGAAGCACCACAACACTTCGCTAAACCAAATCTGCACCCAAAAAAGGTTATAGTGACTGGTGGTGTACTACTATTCACTATAATTTTCTGTATTATGTGGTGCCACTATCACAGCATACAAATATTGCCAAGAAACTGACAAAATTCATGGGAAACTGCAATGCTTTTGTCCAGGATTGGTAAACCGTACGGTGCTGATTCTTCTTCACGATATCGCCAGGCTAAATGTCGCAATGCCAACCCTGCGGAAACTTAAGCACTTAGGTTATGAAAGCTTACCGCACCCTCCATATTCACCCGACTTCTTTTTGATCACTTCGCGAGGGATAAAATTTTAGAGAACGTGGTGAAGCTGAAAATAATATCCAAGACTTTATTGTGAGTCGAAATAAACGTTTTTATGTCAGCAAAATAAAAGTTATGTACTTATTATGCATGGGCAATGATTTATAGATTGTAACAAAAAATATTTTGAAAAATTTTTCTTTATTTTATAAAAATTAAAATATTTAGACTGCCTTTTCTAAACCTTCATTATTTTTGCACCAACCCAATATAAGCCCCAATTTTTGAAAATCAATATCTCTTCTGTCTTAGCATTCAGAAACCATTGTAAAAACAGGAAAAATTATGAAATTACTATGAAATAACCTTCCAATTAAAAGTGGGACTTATACTTAAGAAACTGGCTAGTGAGAAACTTTAGTATAAGCTAGACTTATTTTAAGAGATGAGAGAACATTTGGCATATGCACTTAACTAATTTTACATTCATTGAGGATTGGTGTCACGATTATACGTATACTTAAAAATATAACTTGGCTAGCTTCAACCTTAAGCTGAATGACTAATTAGAAGATAGCATTTCTGTAATGAAAGAGGTGCTTCAGGGAGAATCTCTGTTGACCTTAATTTTTCTCTGTTTATATCGGATTTCATCCGTTTCTTTGAAAATCGGAATATGGTGGTGTTAGATTGGATGAAATTGCTAACCTTGTATGCCTGCTCTTTCCTGATTATGTAGTTTCTGGCTGACTCCTATAGGGATTCTCAGAGCTTAAAGTATTATCTGATACTGCTCTACTAATAAATTGTCTGTAAATGTTAATAAGACCTAGAAAACCGAATTTCCCACCAACAGTAAGAAGTTAAGAACTTTTTATTTTGAGTCACAGCCTTTGCAGTATGTAAATTCATTTACTTGGAAATACCTTTCAGCTGTATGGGTAAATTCTACTACTATTCTGCTACTGAACAAATTGCAAACCAGGTATTATAGCTTCCATCTGCTTTGCAATACTCCTGATCATTATATAAAAATTGAGTTTGGTTTTGAATCTCTTAGCACCCAAATTTTTATTAGGATCATCAACTGGCTAAGTAAAGTGCTAGCTGCAGATAAAAAAATTGCTTCTGAAGGGATTCTTTTGAATGTCTTGTTCACAACAAACTTTTCATCACCTTGTAAAGAATATTGCAATGGTAACTGCTTGTCCATTTAGATGATATATTGGCTTGTTTGGGTTTTGAACCTTCCATTTTTTCATGATGTAAGTTTGGTGGTGAAACACGAAAGAGACACGACCGTTGGGAGAGTAATCTGTAGTCAATTCGCATTGAGCGATGCATTGGCTGTTTTCAACCCCTTATTTCTGCCTTTGGTCCTTGAATTTTGGAGTTAATACTTGCTAAGAAATATTCATTTCAAAAATCTGCAGGATTTGTCGATATGTGAAATTTATCGATTAATTTCTGATAAATTTGGACTAATCTCGCTTACTATTCGGGTTCTTGTTAAGTAGGCCATATCATAGGCCAATATTAAACATCATCATCAATTAGTAGTTGAAATAAAAGTCAATCATTCAGTGTCTTTTTTATGTTAAAATAAAATTTGGTATACAGTCAATGTTTTTTATTTCAATCAGCGACTCGCTGACATAAACATTTCATGTTAAAGCAATGCTCGATTTATATAAATATATATATATTTTTAAACTATTTGATTAATACAGCAATCCTTAAATTACAAATCAAATAAGCAGTGCTGAAAATGGCAGGATAAACAATTTACATTTCTAATCCCTAATTAACGGTAGCAATTTTTTATTTCGTACAATTTAAATGTAGTCAGCGATGAATTAAATTTGTGCTTATTTAATTTGTTGTGTTTAAAAAGTGAGTGACAGAGTGTTTAAAAACAATCTTATTGACAAAAAAAAAAAAAAAAAAAAAAAAAAAAAAAAAAAAAAAAAAAAAAAAATAAACCAGATATATTTTGGTATTGTTTTTTCTTATTAAAAGTTAATCATAATTCACGTCAAAGCTAACACATTTTTGGAAAAAAAAATTTCTAGATTGAAATGAAAATAGGTCAAAGCTAACACATTTTTTTATAACAAATTTTTTAGATTGGAATAAAAATGGCTCCTTCCAAAATCGCTACAAAACCTGTGGTTTTGCCTAATGGGTCGAACTTGAAGATTGGAATTAAAACAAGAAGTCACAACGGTACGGTAGTGAAAAAGGAATCATTTTCAAAAAGGAAAGCGGAAGAATCACCTTTGAAGCGATTAACTGTGAAGAGGGCTACTTTGGGAGAGGTAAATAATTTGAAACATATATTACTTTTAAACGTTTTTAACTTAAATTTAGTGTTTTTGAGTTTTGACACAAAACACAACCTTAACAAATGTTCCATGGTATATAACAAAACGGAAAATTTCTTTTTAGACGGGAAAAGAAAACTCTGCTGTTCCGAGAGTGAAGTCGGTGTTTGAAAAAACAGTCATGCTTTCAAAGATAACAAAAACTTTGGCCAAAAAAACAGTTTTGCAAGATATAAATGATGTCGATCATACATCAAATTGTCTAAACAAGAATGAGCAATCATTAATTCCTGTGGTAAGTTTGAGTTTTTTTATAGTCTGATTAATTGGTTGAAATACAGATTAATTTATTTTACAAAGAATTTTTGAACTCCATATTCAAATTGTATTCAATTAAACATTCATCATATCAACGCAAATTTTAATTTTCATTTAAAGTACAGAAGTTAATTCTTTAATATTTATTTCTGTTGTTATATAATTAGGTTGAATTTCCTTGCATGTTCAACATTTTTAAAATATGTAAAGATAATTTATATCAGTATTAATATAATTTCTTTTTTTTTTTTTTTTTTCTGATAGAGGTTTAGCAAAGAGAATGTCACAAAAGCAAAACAACCTGTCAAAAAGTTATCCACTGTGCCTAGCAAAGTTTCTGATAAAGGAATAAACAGAAAACCCTTAGGGAGTCATAATTTTGTCAAAGATGTCAAGACTAAAGAAGAGTCTGTGACAGTTCTTAAAAAACCAACAGCACAGGTTGACAAATATAATGTGTTAAAGCCTCAGGTCAAAAAACAAGTTGAATTATCACCTTCTTATGGAGTAGTGACAAGGCGATCCTTGGCAAGGAAAAGCGCAGAATTAGAAAAAACTACAGATAGTAGTCTTTATGTTTCAGCTTTAGAGGATTTGAAGTAAGGATTTTGTTTTATTTTTCAATTTTTGTTAGTTAAATATTTAAAAAAAATTATAATTTGCTGTGAAAATTAATAAAAACATCAATAATCTGCCCAAACATTTTTTTATGTTTTAATTTAAATAAAATCCATGATATTAAGATAATTCTTAGTGGTTTAGATATACAAGAATTAACTGACATTAAAAGAATCTAAATCGTCCTTTTAAACTTGATTTTGTGTTTAAATCTTTAATTTGATTTACAGTTTAGATGATAACGTGAAAAAAGGTAGAAAACAAAAGAATAAGAAGGAAATCAAACCGCCCGTTAATGTTGTCGACTTTGACAAGGAGCAAATTGGCGATCCCTCTAGTGTTGCTACTTATGCCATGGATATATTCAACTACCTTAAATCGAGAGAGGTTGGTTTAGAAGTCTAATTTTATACTGATTGTGAGTCAAAAATAAATAATTAACTGTACAATTTTTTTGTCTGTTTTTAGAAAGACTTTGAAATCAGTGATTACATGCCTCGTCAAAAAGACCTTAACGTCAACATGCGTGCACTTCTTGTTGATTGGATGGTTGAAGTACAAGAAAACTACGAATTGAACCATGAAACATTGTATTTGGCGATGAAATTGGTCGACCTTTATTTATCAAAAGAGATTATTAGAAAGGAAAATCTACAACTAGTGGCTTGTACTGGGCTTTTAATCGCTTCAAAGTATGATGTAAGTGATAGCGATATTTGACATAATTTAAATATAAAAACTGGGTATTTTTTAAATAAATAATTCCTATTGCTGTAAAAATGCTTGTTTTTAAATTTAATTTGTAATTAATATTACGTATTTTTTTCTAATAAATAAATTTTCTGTATAAAAAGCAAAGAGGAATTGTTCTTTTCAAATATAAGAAATGTATTTACAATCAGTAAAGAATGGATTTTTGTACAGTAAAATCTTCAAAATGAGCAATAAAAAATTGACATTTTCATAAATTTCAAAACGTGCAAAAAATCTATATAAAGATATAAATTCCCATTTAACTTATTAAAAACTTTATTTACATAAGAAAATAAATTATTATCTAACAGGGGGGGTCAATCAATTTTGGTGTTAAAATATGTTTTTTTATTAATTTTGTTTTTAATAAACTACACTTTTTCCCGGAATTTTTGGTGTAGTTGGAGAACATGCGGTGACAACAATAAAAAAAAAAGTATTTTTTATTAACTAGATTTTTTGCACCTTTGTTTGGTGTAAAAGATTTGCAATTTTGAGCGTCATAAGCGATCAAAAAAATTGTTTTAAAATTTTCACCAAAAATGTTAATATTCTAAAAATTTATTTATTTTATGGCATATTGGCCAAGGAGACTATATTATGTGTATGCGTATTAAGGAGGGAAGGGTATTGTGAAAAAAAAGAGCCAGAGGCGATGCTGGGAATTGAACCTATACTGTTGGGGGGGGGGGAAGACTGCTATGCTAACCGTGGTCCCCTCAAGTTTTTATTTTATTAAGCAAGATTTTTGTACGTTGATTGTGTAAAGGATTTATAATTTTGAGCACTGGATGTAATAATTTTTTTTAAATTTTTGTCCATAAATTTATTTTTTAATTAAACTAGATGTGCATTGTTTGGTGTAAAGAATTGGCAATTTAGAGCACCAGAAAGGCTCAATTTTTTTGTTGAAAATTTTGACCAAAAAAACAAGTAAATTAAAAAAAAAATAAACTAGATTTTTTTTGCACATCGTTTGGTGTAAAGGATTTGCAATTTTGAGCACCAGAAAGGCTGATTTTTTTTTTAAATTTTGACCAAAAAATATAAAGTAAACAAAAATTAAATAGATTTTTGTACACCATTTGGTATAAAGGATTTGCAATTTTGAACACTAGAAGGGCTGAAGAATTTTTTTTGAAAATTTTGACCAAAAAATGAAGTAAATTAAAAAAAAATAAACTAGATTTTTTGCACATCATTTAGTGTAAAGGATTGCAATTTTGAGCACCAGAAGGGTTGAAGAATTTTTTTTGAAAATTTTGTCCAAAAAATATTATAAAGTAAACAAAAATTAAACTAGCTTTTTTGTACACCATTTGGTGTAAAGGATTTGCAATTTTGAACACTGGAAGGGCTCAATTTTTTTGTTGAAAATTTTGACCAAAAAATGAAGTAAATTAAAAAAAAAATAAACTAGATCTTTTGCACATCATTTAGTGTAAAGGATTTGCAATTTTGTGCACCAGAAGGGCTGAAGAATTTTTTTTGAAAATTTTGACCAAAAAATATTATAAAGTAAACAAAAATTAAACTATATTTTTTGTACAGCATTTGGTGTACAGGATTTGCAATTTTGAGTACCAGAAGGGCTGAATTTTTTTTTGAAAATTTTGACAAATAATATGATAAATTTGTAAAAAATTAAACTAGATTTTTTGTGCAAGGTTTGGAGTAAAGGATTTGTAATTTTGATCACCAGAAGAGCTCAAAAGAGGTTTTTGAAAATTTTGAGCAAAAAATATAATAATTTAAAAAATATTAAATTAGATTTTTTGCACTTCGTTTAGTGTAAAGGATTTACAATTTTGAGCACTATGAGTGCTCAATTTGAAAATTAACAGGTCTACAGATCAGAATGATGTCTATGAATAGATAAATAAATCCCAATATAATGGAACCCTGAAATGTCTCAATGTCGGCAGTGCTGTGTGGCTTCAACGAAATGATACTTCACAAAATAAATCACATGGGGGGGGGGTCGAGAATAAGCAGTAAATAAAATTAATAATAATTAAGTACCAAAAAATGAATTAATGAACTTTCCACCACATAACTAAGTTTTTCTGTCAACTTATACCTACTATCATCCGGAATGTTTTTCAAAAGAACAGTCTTGCTCTACATCTAAACTTGTTAATGGGTGTTATGAACATATTTTTACAGCATGCGTTGTAATTGCACAAAAAACAATTGTTGTCGTTTTTCAGTTGTAGACATTATTGGGCCAGAGAAAGACTGAGAAGTGAGAAAATACTCACTGATAAGACAGAGCAGAAGTTTAACAGAAAACAATTTTAATTATTTAATTAAATATTTGTTTATTGTTAATAGTTTTCCCATTTTTATGCAAAGACGGTTAAGAAGAAAAATTAGTGTCAATTTGAGGAATATTACAAACTAAAAGTTCTAACAATAAAGAAGAGAAGTGACTCTATTTCAATTTATAACACGTTCTTTCTCCCTCTGTTATGAAAAATATTTCGAATGACCGAGTGCATTGAAATACACAGAATTTTTTCAATTTACCAAACTGATCTGCTGAGGAATTAACAAGTCGTTGACTGTATTTGTATTTCCCCTTTACATCAAAAATTCCCATTGCTAATTATATGTCCTAATGCAATTAAATGATGCTGTGAGGTTTGAATATTGGTGGTAAAAGGGAATTATTAATAATAGCAGGTTGAGAGGAGAAGTTGGTGTCTCGGGAGATCAATGTCACGATAGCTCAAGTGGTTAGGTTAGAACACCAGCGAATTGAGCCGAAGATCGTGGGTTGGATTAGCGCTCGTGTCACTAATTTTTCTTCTCAACCGTCTTTGCATAAAAACGGGAAATAGAAAACAATTTTTTCAAAAATCATAAGCATTAAGACTTCAAAACTTAGCAAAACAAAGTGCATTAGAAAAAAGAAAAGATTTTTACCCTGAATTTGTTCACTCGGTACTGTTAAAAGTTTAATGTTATTTACAAGTTTACATAAAAAAATAATTACCAAAAAATAAAAAATGTAATTTTGTGCAGGAAAACATTAAAAAATGCAATTTCGTGCAAAATAAAAACAGTGTCAAAAGAACGTCCTTCTATGATTTCAATTTCTGCCTTGGTTTAATTGCATTTGAAGTTAGAAAATAAAAGGATTGCTCGGGAATTCGGTCTTTAATAATTACATAGTGCATCGTATTTATCATGTTTCTATTGCAGGAACGATTTCCTCCTTCAGTTGAAGATTTTCTCTATGTCTGTGATGGATTATATACAAATAAAGAATTAACAAACATGGAATTTAAATTACTGACTACCATCGACTTTCAACTTGGAATCCCCCTTTCTTACAGATTCCTCAGAAGATACGCCAGGGTCAGTTTGTAATAATTTTTCTTTTATATTGTAAATGTAATTCTTGTGACTGGAATTTTCAGTGCGCCAAAATTGGTATGAAGATCCTAACCCTTGCTCGTTTTATACTTGAATATAATCTTATGGATTATAACTCGGTGAGATTTGCTGATTCTAAGATGGCCGCTGCTGCTCTTTACATGGCACTGTTAATGGCAAAAGAAGGCCAATGGACTTCAACTTTAGAATACTATTCAGGTCTGCTTGTGGTTTTGTTCCGTTAACCAACAAACTTTTTACGACATTGTGCATTGTCTTCTCTTTTACAGGTTATAAAACGTCTGACTTTGTTCATATTTGTCAAATGTTCAACTCTTATCTTAAAAAAGATGCAGCAAACCTGATGACTATTAAGAATAAATATTCGCACAAGTAAGGGCTTGTAGACAAAACTAATTGTTTAATTGAAAACAGTAAAATAATGCAATGTTTTTGTTTCAGGTTGTTTTTTGAAGTAGCAAAAATCCCATTGGTCGATACTTTTGATGATGTCGTATAATGAATTTTCTTAAATAGTAATGTAATAACCAGTTATATATGTGCCAATATTACTTGATCTGGATCATCAGAAAAAACTCGCCCTTGTGATTATTTTTATATTTTATTGGTGAAACAATATTTTAAAATTATTCCTTGGTGATTTAAGTACATAACATTACTGTGTCAATCTAGAATAACAGGTCATTTTTTAAACAAAACATAAATTATCAATTGTACATAAAATTCAATTAGTATTTTATTATCTTAATAAAATGTTTTTACCTCGTGTCTTCTAATCCAGATTTTGTCGTATGAACACTGTCAGATTATAATGCAATTTAAATGTTTAGGGATGTAAAGTTATGCACAAGTGTATTAGTTTTGTTTTGTTTGAGCTTTTGTGGATTACCTTTTAACTTATTTATCATACTTGTTATTCAAGATTTAAATTATATTTATCTAACTTTTTCATAACTTTTAATGTGTTTAAAAAAAAATAAATTCCAATATTTTTAATTGGTGAAATTATTAAATAATTTTCTCACCAAGCAATAAATAATAAGTTGTTGTAATAAATAACTCTAATCCAAATATTGTATTCAACTTTGACTTTTGTATCACATTGTTTGCAGCATGAATAAAAGTAAAATTAACATTTGCATTATAAATTGATCAAAATGTTTATGAATTTGTCTACCTTTAGATCTAACATGTAAGTTATCCTCGGCTACACTACTGGTAGTGTTAATGTTTTATTATTTATGTCACAAATTCGGATCCGTACAAGTTTTCACTGTTTGCATTGAGGCTCTTTATTTTCAAACATTTTGAAATGCCACAGTGCCAAGTGATGGATATTTTAGAGCGATTATGGAATAAATAAAGAACATTTAGCGCCACTCGGATAAATCTTGAACAAGTACTTAACTTTTTATTTTTTATTTTCAAATGTTTGTGCATGCTTCATCAATTATTGTACAGCCTTTTGCATTAAGTTGAAAGTACTCCAGGGTCTTTTCCAACATATTTTCTAATACAACTAGAGATTGGAATGTATATATTTTTATAAATAAAAAATATTGTATACATTTGTTGAATTTGTTCTGCTTATTACTTCTTTTTAATCCTAGTGTTCTAAATATGACCATTGATAGTATAAACAGGGTATTTAAGTCCCAAAAATCAACGCTTGGACTGGAGCTGGCATTGGAAAATGATTGGGCTGTTACATTGCATCCTGTAATTATTTAGGTGTAGAAGTTCGAATATTGCATGGATGAATGTTTGCTATTTTTTAAATTAAATATTTGGGACGTTTAGGCACATTGTATATTTAAGCATTTTAGATTGACCTATGCAGAAATTGCAGACAATAAAATACTAAAAATAAACGAATTAATTGAATTAATGCACTAATAATGCTCAGATAGACACAGAATTATAGTAGCTCTTGTCATACAAGACGGATTAATGCCCAACTATGGGTATGTCAGACCACTGCAATTCCTTCCACATCTCAATTAAAAAGTCATGGGTAATTCAAACCCAGAACAGAGACATTATGATTTATGAGGGTTGGCAACAGGGTCAAGTCTACCCTTGGGGTGCCGGTGTTTTTAAAAAAAGGCAATTTGTATGTTGGGTTCGAATGCAGGGCTGCTGAATTTGAACCTGGGACCTTTACCTTACAGGGATGAGCATCATGTCAATGCCTGAACGATTGTGCCCACCAATGTCCTGACAATTATTGAATACGGACTAGTTTTATTGATAATAAAAAAAAGGTTAACAAAATTCAAATAGACTGGTCATTGAGTTTGCTGCTTAAAGTAAATAAAATCATGCTTTAAAACTAGAAGGCATGAGAGGAGGAAAGAGAAAGAATCAAAATAAACTTGTCATTGTATTCGTCAAAACGGCGCATCACAATGTTAAGCCTGCACGACCGAACAACCATGAAATGGTAGTCTATTGCAAGCGCCGTGCTAAGAGAAAATTTTACGATAGTTCCATATTTTCTCCCTTCGAGGAGAGTCAAACCACCTTGCAATATCTTCTACATAATCTCTATTAAAAAAACCCATGGGTTATGCCAGTATTTCAACGCAGATCCGACAAAATTATTGAATTTACATGTTAATAAGTTTTATTAATGTTTTAACAGGGTTAACAAAAACTCGAAGTAGAGTGGTGATTGAGACTACTCCTCAAAGTAAATAAAAACGATACTTAAAAAATATGAGAGAGTTGGGGAGAAAGAGAGAGAAGGTGAGAGCAAGAAAGGGAGAAAGAGAAAGAACCAAAATAAACTTGATTTATTAATCGCCAATACGGCACATCGCAATGCTAAACCTGCACGACCGAACAGTCATGAAGGGGTAGTCTATTGAGAGCGCCGTGCAATGGAAAATTTTGAGATATTCGGTTATTTTCAAACAATTCTAAGTGAAATTTATTTTGATTCTTTTTATTCCCTCTTTCCCTCCTCTTACACACACACTCTCTCTCTCTCTCCCTCTCTCTCTCTCTCTCTTACTCAACTCCCTCTCACTCTCTGTCACTGGTTGTGCTTCCATATGGAACTACCATTTACAAACAATTTTTAATCTATGCCTGCAAATTGTGGAACTCCCTCTTCCTTGTATTAAAACCAAAATAAAGCAGAAACATTTAAAAACGCATTATACAGTTATAAAATGATATAAAATGATAAATTATAAAATGATCTGTCAGAAACATTGACATTTGTATGACAAAAATAATTAATAAATAAAATTAAAATTGAAATTGAGATAATAAATGAATTAGAGAAATAAAAAGGAATAAATAAGTAATATAAAAACAAATAAATAATAATTTTTTTTCTCTTTATTTCGTTTATTTTCGTATTACATTATTAGATTATTCAACTATACATATATGTATATTATTATAAGAATTATGTATATGTTGTACATTATTTGTATATATGAGTGTATGTATATATGTATGTAGGCATGAAAACACACACACACACACACACACACACACACACACACACACACATATATATATATATATATATATATATATATATATATATATATTGTAGTTGTTTATATAAAATCGAAGTAATGTGGTGATTGAGTTTGCACCACAAAGTAAATAAAAACATACTGAAAAAATATGAGAGCGCGAGTGCAAGAGAGAGAGAGAGAGAGAGCGAGAGGGAGAGAGAGAGAGAGGGAGAGCGAGAGAGAGAAAGTGGAGAGTGAGGGCGTAAGAGGGAGAAAGAGCAAGGATCAAAATAAATTTATGTTAGAATGGGAAGAAAACAACCAAGTATCTTAAAATTTTCATGACTGTTCGGTTGTGCCGGTTTAACAAACCTATGCGCCGTATTGGCGATTAATAAGTCAAGTTTATTTTGATTCTTTCTCTTTCACCCTTTCTTGCTCTCACCCTCTCTCATACTTTCCCCCAACTCTTTCAAATTTGTAAGGTTCGGTTTTATTTACTTCGTACTATTTATATTTTATGTCATTAGAATTAATTGTTTTTCTTTTTTCCCCAATTAATTTATATATTATTGCAATAATTCGGAGAATTGGTTCACAATGCAGAAGTTTCTCGAGAGTGCAGGAAATGCCAGGAATGGTCATACCAAAATAAAAAGAACGACAGCTCAATGTTCCTAACTTGTTACAGTCGTTACTTGATTTTAATTAACAGCGGTGGAATGTCGATTACGGTGTACAGTCGAAACAATAAAACGATCATCTCTCTGAAATGTCAAACGATGGCTACCTGATCCACGCCTACCGCCAGTATCTTGGCAGTTGTTCTTGGAATGTTAAGCACCTTGGCACATGCCTTTGACTTCTTCCCCTTCGTCCAACAATGCTATGATTCTAGCCAAATGTTTATCCTTAAAACCATCACTCAATGAAATTTGAAACCTAAAATTGGTACGAATAAAAAAAAAATCAACCCACCGGAACGTCATTAGAATTAATTGTTTTTCTTTTTTCCCCAATTAATTTATAAATTATTGCAATATTTCGGAGAATTGGTTCACAATGCAGAAGTTTCTCAAAATGGCAAAAAGGAGGGAAAATTCAAAAGGTGGGATTGAGATGGGAAGTTGGTTTCCGAGTGGATCGAAGTCACGATAGCTCAAGTGACAGAGTAGCGGCGTATCAAGCCGAAGGTCGTGGGTTCGAATCCCGCTTGTGACACTGACTTTTTTATCTCAACCAAAAACTTAAATAATTGAAAAGAATTTATTTGGTCAAGCAGACCACGAAACGTAATAAAATGTTAAGAAAGAAGTTTTACTGAAAACCTACATATTGGGTTGTCCGGAAAATAATGCAGGATTTTGGTATTAAACAAAAAAAAAGAAACTAGTTACTTTAAAGCAATGTTCTTTAATCAAAATAATNAATTATTTTGATTAAAGAACATTGCTTTAAAGTAACTAGTTTCTTTTTTTTTTGTTTAATACCAAAATCCTGCATTATTTTCCGGACAACCCAATAGAAATCACTTCAATTATGGTATTGAAAATGGTTGTGATGTATACTTTTGCCCGTTTAGGTTGATTGTTAAGAATTTCGAGAGTTACGAGGTCGAATGCTTGGGATTTCTTAAGTGGGAGGCGGAAATTGGAATTTAACTTTCAAGGGATAGATAGGATTTGGAGGCATTGAGAGAGAAAGAGAAGAATTGAGGGGTTCGGCGATTCGATCTGATTGCACTGTTCCTTTAAGACTTGGATTAGGAGTGTAAACAGTTGAAAGGTGGTCGGAAAGCAATAAATAAATAATGCAAGCATGTTAAATGAAGTCATTAGCGAAAACGAGTATATGAAATATCCGGTTGATTGAGTTAGAAATAAATAAATCCAGCCTTGCACGTACAATTTGGAAATATGAGTATATTCTACAAATTACCTGAGTAAATAAAACCAGTCAAAATTGCTGGCCGAACAATAAAGCATGTTTGAAACCAACGCAGCATGCAAATGGAGAAGAAAGAGACTTCAGACCAGTTTGTGATAAATATGCGTATAGCTGTTATGTTAATAATTTTAATTATTTCTAATTATTCAGAAATTGTGAGATGCGGTCTGGTGTGATGTAGGTTTCAGAAAAACATTTCCTTTATCGTGCCAACGTTTCGATCTTTATTGAGATCATCTTCAGGGCTCAAAGTGTTTGTCTTCTATGTAATTGTGCCATTCTTGCGTGTCGTGTTGAGAGTGCAACACTTTGAGCCCTGAAGATGATCTCAATAAAGATCGAAACGTTGGCACGATAAAGAAAATGTTTTTCTGAAACCTACATCACACCAGACCGCATTTCACGAGTTCTAAATAAATATCGATTAACGGTCACTAATCACCACACATTTAATTATTTCATTAATAAGTGCAAAACTAAATTCTAGGCTTAACTTTATAGCGTTAATTATCTCTCGTGAATCCCTCAATGTAGAAATAGGCTTACAAACTTAATATAAACTTAAATTGAAAGGAATTTAAAATAATTACTTGGTTCTTGAAAGCGTTTTAAAATTTTATGAATAATTTGTTCAGACATATTTGATTCTTTTAATGCCATATGCAAATCGGTGATCTGTATGTCTGTTTTGATGTGAGGAGACATGTTCGGACCGGAAAGAAATGAAAGTGAATTTAGTTTTGCTGAATTTTCTTCTTTTTGTTGTGCCAAACCTAATATATTAGCCATGAAATTTTCCATTTTTTCCGTTTTATTCAACTCTGGTCAAAATTTATTCATACAATTAGTTAATTCTGCGAGTATATCTGCGTTATATTCTCCAACAATCTCCTTTAAGAATGTGAAAATACTTTCAACTTTTGCCTGATTTATTTGCAGTTCTTCAATATTGTATTCTTTACTTTATGGCACGTGCGATTACGTTTCTTGCCCATTTGCTACAATGAAGATGAGCGCTTCCTACCACTATTTATACCGTCTCTTAAAGACTTAAAAACTTAATAAACTTAAATTAAAAGAATTAAAAAAAAAT